CCTGGTTACTACCGCCGGTGGGGCAGACACCCTGGGAGGTAGCTGATCAAATAGGAACTATAGTGCAGGAGGAAGAAATCAAGAAAAAGCCCAAATTAATAATATAGAACACCATGTGCACACTCCTTACCATCCACAATCTAATGGGGTTGTGGAAAGACACATTGGTATTTTGAAGACAACTGAAAACAAACACCTCCCCCCAAGTCGAGTATGATCCATCCACCACCACCCTCTGAGTGCGACCCTTCAGCCAATCTGCAATCCATCTGACCGTGTAGGCATCTATGCCACAGTCGCCTAGTTTATTAATTAGGATGGGGTGAGAGACGGTGTCAAAGGCCTTGCTGAAGTCCAGAAAGACTACATCCACCGCGACACCTGCATCCATGGCCTTTGTGACCTGATCATAAAAGGCAATCAGGTTGGTCTGACATGATCTCCCCCTAATAAATCCATGCTGATTTGTTTTGTTTTGTTACAGGTTTTGTTACAGGTGTCAAGGATTGAAGTGGCAACAGTGGGAGATCAAGAATGAAAATGATCCCAGAGATGAAAACTGGATGTGGCTAACCAATGCAACATTATGCAGATCAGTACCTAGACCACCCAACGTGATTCTGGGATATAATGCTGACGTATGGAATCTCACAATATATCGTTTAACTTGGAAACTGGACAATTAGTGATGTTGTCAAATTGCACAATCTTTTCCGGTCTACAGTCTAATATTTTAACATTTCAAAACAAAATTTCCAATTATAGTTTATTTTAACTAAAGCCTGGGATTGCAACACATCAATACAGGCTTCACAATGACTAGAACATGGACACATGAGCAACATGGAAGTGGCACAGTGCATCCAGAGAGGGGGCCATGGAGTAAGAAGTAGCAGATATTGTTCCAGCCTTCATTGGCAGCTGGTAGTGCAATTAGTTTTCCTTACATGGGTGCAGTGAGCCCAACTGAGGGTCAGATGACATGTTCACATAGTTTGCCCTGAATGCAGTTACATAAAGAATCTCTTGCACAGAAATGTTACAACAGGCATTGACAATGTTTTTGGGCAGTCTGCCAAAAACACCCCAAACCCTGACCTGTAAGATGCTGGCATGCCAGGGGCACATGGTGGGGGAGCCACAAGGGGCCCAATCCTTGTTGTGGGAGCACAGCCCCAACCCCTTCCCCGTCATCTGCCCCAAGGCATGTGTGCCAAACAAAATGCCTTGGCATGCCACATGCTGGCACTTGTGCCTCATCTGGCAGTTTTCAGCTTGATTGCTTAGCCTGAGCTGAACTGGTAAATGGCACAGGGTGCATATAAGCTCCTTCCAGTCACTGTGGAATGGAAATTTGTGCCAAAAACATTTAGCTAGCTTTTGATGTTTTGTCTTAATATTACAACCTACAGGTTTACAGTTTTAAAAATGTTGTGATCGTAACCAATCACAACAGCAAAAAGTATTACTTCTTTCCTTGGCCAGCTGCTACAACCAAGAAGAAATCATCCTTTCCATTAAGCTAATCTTTTAAGGGAAGCAATTACAACTACATGTTAGGAAAAGGGAACAGGGTACTTGATAGAAAACTATATATTCAGATACACTGAATAAAAAGGCAGAAAGTTGCAAATGTTTCTGCTTAGAAGAAACAGGAAATCATAGCATAAGGATGACATCACAAAAGAAATAAGGGGTGCAGAAGTATTTCTAGTTACAGAGCCAGAGGTAATTTGCAAACAGCTAAAATCTTAATTTTTTAATAGGATAAGAACAATTCATTTTAATTAAAAAGCCTTTCTCTAATTTCTTCTTGAAATAATTTTGCTTTGTTTTATTTAGTTGGGTTGTTTTTAAAATACAGGAAAGGCATCAAAATCACATTTTGTTAACAAAACCCTGCCCTTCCAACAACCCATGTTTTACTTCCATTATTCCACTGTAAAAAGATTGCTGCTCCCCACCTGACTCTTCAGCCTGGATCTACTAAACAAAGTATGGCTTTTAGAAATACTCTATCATTGTACTTTTCATGTATTTGATGCACACGTACACATCTACTACTGATATCTGCCTGTTAACAAGAGATTTACCTGTGAACCCAAATATTATAGACCATGGAAGGAGAAATCAGATCTTGCTCCTACACGTTATTTATTATAAAGTCTGTAGGAACACCAAAGGGATAATATTCTGGCTGATGGGTAAACCTGATGCATTTCTCTTCTTGTTCTGTCCCAGATTATTCATTTTTAAATATAATTTGAATGTACGTGGTTTTAAAAAATCTGCATTTCAGGACATTTGCACTCAAGCCTGTTTTCAGGTTCCTCTAAGAAATTTGTGCAGAGAAAGATCAGCGTGAAGGAAGGAGTATACTCTTATCTTACCTGACGTCCTTGGTTCTTCAGTAAACATAACAGAACAGCATCACATCAGGGATAGTGGATCTTGACTGAAAAGAATCTAGTTACAAGGTTGACATTTTTTAAAGATAAAAATCATAGAGGTGGATTTCCTTATAAAAAAGTATCTTACTAGGTGACACTGAGGCTGTACTGTAGAACAATTCAGAATCCAGATGATTGCAAGTCACTTAGTTACATTTTACTTTCAGCCAGGTGCTTGAAAGGTAGTAACTTTAGAGTAAGTTAGAATGAATACTTCTATTTACTTAAAAGTTTCAGCCTAAACCTCGTGTTGTTATCTACCATCTTATTACAACCAGAACCACTGGTTCTTTAACTGAGAGACACAAAAACATAAGCATCACCAATTCAGGCCCAGTTCACGAGAACAAGTTGAGTTCTATGAAGGGTAATCGCCAATACATTCCATTTCCAGGTCACATTTTACCACTGGAAACAGTGCTGTGACATTCCTACATGGCCTACAGAATTAAAATTAAAGAAAAGAACAGGGATCTGTAGATTGTCTTCACTTCAAGTCAATGATGTCTTCATCAAATGAAGCAGTAAGCTGAAACAGGTAGCTAGATGATGGACTCTCTTCCCTGCTTACTGAAGTATCAGGATCCGAACTGGTGGAAAGGTGGCGGCCTTCAGAATTTCTTTCAAAGGAGCTTGAAATTATCCTGGAAGGAGGAAGAGAGTTGCTGTAAACATTTCCAGATGAAAGAGAATAGCAGTTTAAGTGCCTATCCCTGGACTCAAGCAGGTTAATCTATGGGCAGAGTCAAAGCACTTGCTGTCCTGAGAATTGCGGTTCATTCCTCCTCTTTTGAAAAAAAACAAAAAAACACTCTGATTTTCTACTCATACTCACTAACTTGGTCAGTAGGAAACGGTAACAAATATCACATTCACTAACTTTTAATTTTACTCAGTAGCCAGTGTGGTAGAAGTGATCTCTTTTATTAGGCCAACTAGACAGTTGCACCCAAAAAAAACCCTTTATTTGCAAGCTTTTCAGGCACGTAAAATTTCTACCAGGTAGAAATGAGAAATGTTACAACATTTGCAATCTCTGATGCCTGAGGAAGGGCGTGCGTGCCCAAAAGCTTGCAAATAAAGAACATTTTTTTTGCAACTGTGTAGTTGGTCTAGTAAAAGGTATCACACCTCTACCACACTGACTGCTTGTACTTTTAGACCAACATGGCTATAACCTTTATCGCTAAATTTACTCAAACGTTCAGTTGCCCTCTCCCCCCCCAGCCCCAGTATTTTTTTTCCTTCCTTTTCAAGGTCCTGAAATCAGTTTCATACTGTTTTAAATAACAGAGAATAAAAGTAATGAAGCATCATTAGTAATGAGTCAAACCCTGCTGCCTCTGCCCTGAATAAGTAAGGATTCCATCATGCAGAGTGCTATGGCATAGGATCAGATGAGGAGGACTGGACAGACAAATTCCGTACATGCAGCTCTGCCAAATATCTTTGCAGCAACAAGGCCTGAGGGAAGGAAGGAAGTGGCCAATAAGTTCATACCGTGTGGGTCTGCTAGAAAAATCCCTATTGATGGAGGTTGAGCCACGATGCCAACCATACAAAGACCCACTTCTTTGACTGCCTGTTAGGTTCAGCCAGATGCAACATACAAGTCTTTGTTATAAAACAGCAAGAAACCCAAGATGCATCTTAAAACGGCAACAGAAGCTTATCCAAAAAGTCGTGGACCAGTTCTGACCCACCAAAGCAATGTGAAGAACAGCCTCTTACTTAAACAGCTCATAGGCTAAATTCATTGTAGAAGAACAGCTCTGAGGTCCAATTTAAGCCAAGGTGATTATGACATGCATTGTGTACATACCATTAGGACAACTCCGTTTGCATCCCAAGGACATAATGCTTTAATTTAGTGAGATTCTTTTAGAGGTCTCCTTATTTACCTGTCACTGCTAGTTGACCTTATTGCTCCATGCTTATGGTCTGATTGTTTTCGAGGAAGTTTCTTTTGCTTCTGCACTCCTTCTGACTTAGGAACTGGCTCATCCAAGAGGCCTCAAGGAAGGAATAAAAAGTTTAGTTGCCAAAAGAGGCTAAATGTTAATTGGGATGTTATAGCTATAATATCTCTCACTGCCTTCTATCAGTGACTAGCTACATTCCAATTGGCTTAAAATACCAACCTACTGTGTGGATTTCATAGGATTATAGGAAGGAAGGCTGGGAGAGACCTCATGATGTCATCTGGTCAAGCCCTAACTCAAGGCAGGATCATCCCCAACTAAACAGTCCCAACCAAGTGTCTGTCTAACAGAAATCAGATAACTTATCCAAGGATTTATGTAATCTATGTATACTGAGGCTGGTTTTTTTTAATTGATCCTGTTTCATTTTTTTAATATGGTCTTCTCAATACCAATCTATCTCCAGAAGCAAGTGGGTGACCCAGAATTTCCCAGTGATATAAATAGCAACTGATCACTACAACCAAAAATAAGGAGATTCTACCCAGTAGTTCTTTGCGTGTCCTGATTGCTATTTCTTTAATTTCCATACACGATAAGGATAATGAATGAGTAACAGGGACAGAGGTGATTCCACTTGGCGTTGGGGTAGTGATGACCTTAGGGACTAAAGGCGACTTCAGAGGACGTTCAATGCTCCTACCAACCAGGTTACTGAGAGGAATTTTGTACAAGTTTTTATACCGAACTTCACCTGAAACGACAAGAAAAACAAACAGTAACAGATCCTTCGTTCTTTCACAGTAATTAGAGTTTCTCGTGTTAGTCTTTACCACTTGAGTGCTGACAGCAGGCACCACACTGCTACATGTAATCTAAGATACTGCCCCTTTCCCCGCAAAGCTTGCAATCTACATAGATAATTACTGGCCATAAATACGTACTGGAGTCAGACAGATAATACTGCTAACAGGACTGGTGTTATAGCAGAGTAATGACAGTATTTTTCAGTCACAGGGTGAAGCTGAGGGAGAAACAGACATGCACAATGCAATTCTAAATCTCCACAGGACAAAACATATTCCAAAACTCTGCGCCAAGAACTGAAATTATACAGCAATACACGTGCTATCTAGGTGCCTAAAGTGAAACAGTATTCTGTCCTAAGCATCCATTGTTTAAAAAAAAGTTCTTAGCAGAATGTGAGGCAGACAAGGTTCTTTGGGTGAATCTGATATCTTTTATTAGACCAATTTACGTTGATCTAATAAAAGAGATCAGATTCACCCAGAGAACCTTGTCTGCTTTTGTCCATGGACCAACATGACTACAACCTACACCCCTGTAACAGAATGTGATAAACTATCCCCCAATTCACACTTTTTCATGGCCCAAATCTTCTATGACTCTACCCCTAGAAGGTCAAAATATAGCCTGTATATTTATGCAAATACTTGTATGCATCCACCAGCTCTCTTTTCTGAGGGTCTACCTCACATAGTTTTCTGCTTTTCCTCCACCTCAAAGAAAAAAAACACAATTTTCTGAAACATCACTACTTTACTTTTTTTTTTTTTTTTTTTTTTTTTTTTTTTTTTTTTTTTTTTTTTTTTTTTTTTTTTTTTTTTTTTTTTTTTTTTTTTTTTTTTTTTTTTTTTTTTTTTTTTTTTTTTTTTTTTTTTTTTTTTTTTTTTTTTTTTTTTTTTTTTTTTTTTTTTTTTTTTTTTTTTTTTTTTTTTTTTTTTTTTTTTTTTTTTTTTTTTTTTTTTTTTTTTTTTTTTTTTTTTTTTTTTTTTTTTTTTTTTTTTTTTTTTTTTTTTTTTTTTTTTTTTTTTTTTTTTTTTTTTTTTTTTTTTTTTTTTTTTTTTTTTTTTTTTTTTTTTTTTTTTTTTTTTTTTTTTTTTTTTTTTTTTTTTTTTTTTTTTTTTTTTTTTTTTTTTTTTTTTTTTTTTTTTTTTTTTTTTTTTTTTTTTTTTTTTTTTTTTTTTTTTTTTTTTTTTTTTTTTTTTTTTTTTTTTTTTTTTTTTTTTTTTTTTTTTTTTTTTTTTTTTTTTTTTTTTTTTTTTTTTTTTTTTTTTTTTTTTTTTTTTTTTTTTTTTTTTTTTTTTTTTTTTTTTTTTTTTTTTTTTTTTTTACAGGCTCACTTTGCTTTCTTTATATATCTTTAAATTCCCCAGTTAATCTCAAATAATCTGGTCAATTGTGCCACCATTAAAATTATCACTCTCTCACACTTTTATCTTTTTTACAAAAAATAAAATATCAGCACTCATCAAGAACAAGCTAAAGAATGATATGGAAAAATATTATAATCCCAGACTGTAAATTAAAAAGGACGACTTTAGCACCAATGATGGGCAGAACTGCATGCTACATTCCCTTGGAGGTGTTTAGGAAAATAAAGAGGGATGGGGCAGACAAAGGAAATCAGCCTGAGCAGGGGCCCACAACAACCCTTGTATGAAGGCAGACTGGAGAGATTGAGGTTGTTTCCCTAAGAGAGGTAATGAAAAAGCAGTGACAAGATAACATAAAAGACCAAATGATACAAAATTTAGTGGGGCCTGGGAGGCTACAACTGGATGTAAACAACGGAGCTATTTATGGGAGCGTCAGTTTTACAGAACCATAGTTAAAGCTGTGCTTAGATTCCCATTAAAAGACCCATTTTCAGTCATTAAAATTTTTGAGCAGAGAAACCATTTTTGTAATTATCCAGCAGAGACCAAGTGGTATTTTGAAAGCTTCTGATTAAAAAAAGTCTTAAATAAAGTGAGTCAGAATCACTCCCCAAGGTGGGCATGCAGCACTCCTGCTACCATAGCCAGGATCCTATCGGTCATTTTTTTTTTTCAGGAGCAGCAGCAGCACTCTGTCAGCTTATACGCAGCTCCTGGGTCCACCATAGCCCCAAAGTACTTTTCTGAAGTGCACAGGACAACAGGACTGGAAGTAGCCTCCTAGACCACTGTGCCCAGCTCCCTATGTTGGCAGACTTTTGTTACCCAAGAGAATCCCCACAATCATAAGTTTAGACCCTTATAACTTCAAGGGGAACTACCCAAAACAACAACACCCACCTCTGGCATGCCAGAGGTAAAAAGCAAAGGAGATGAGCACTTATAACTGATGAGTTCACTGTTTTGCCAGGCCAGTCTCTTATTGCACATCCCATACTTCCTTTGCATCAGGGCAGCATGCTCTTGCACCTGTCATACCATACTTTAAGGTGCTATTAACTTTTTTCCTTTGACCTCGGGTTAGGCATCTCTTAAGCAAAACGTATTCTGTAGATTGGGTATTTCAGTTCAGCCCTTTGAAGGCAAGTGTCCCCAAAACTGGTATCTCTTGTCTGCAACCATAGCCACAGCAGTGTCAAAGATTCACTAGACCACTGAGACTTATCCCTCACCCCAGAGAACAGGCAATGGAAAAGAACATTGGCAAGAAGTAGCCTAGGCATAGCTTCCACAGTCACACCTGCTCCATGATGGAATAGAAAATTCTAGTCCTTGGGCCTCACAGTTGCAATCAATTTAAAGTCTTTCACACTGCAAATGTGCTAATTTTCAGCATAAGCCAGTACCCAAGCCCAGTTAGCCCCGGTACCGCTTTACCTTCTGTTGAGGACAGAGGGAATTCTGGTGTTTCATGAGCTATTGGTGTCTGAGGAGAGCTCTTTGAACTGGTCTCCTTGGAACTGCTATTAGACGATCCAATTGCCACCGCAGTAGCTTTAAAATAAATGTCCAACTGAAATGACAAGAAAAACAATATTAGCAAGCAAGTCTTTCCAGTCACTTGCTGAGATACAGCCCAGGTTTCCTCTTTCCACACGCTAGCGGTTGCACAAAGGCCTCAAAGTCACTGAACCCTGACATGGAAGGCTCCACCACAGCAGCTGGTCTGTATACAACCTCTCGACCATATTTTAACAAACTCCTGTGGCATGCTAGGGTGGTATGCCTTGTGGCTGCGTGACAAGACTGACCGTGTTGTTTTACTAGTAGATTAGACAAGGATTTGTATGGTACGGTTTGGACAGGGATAAGGATGATCCTGTCTCAGGCTGGACTAGACGACCTCCAGAGGTCCCTTCCAGCCCTGCTTTACTATGACTCTGTGGGCGTGTCTACATGAGACATTTACTGCGGAGTAGGCTAACTGGCTCCACAGTAAATGTCTCAGCATCTACACATGCAGCTCTATCAGGCTGGAGTCAACTAATAAACTCCACAGCAGGGTAGTACTTGTAAATACACAAGTACTATCTTGCTGCAGATTTATTTTTACTCACCCTGCCCTATTTTTTACTAGCACTGAAGAACCCTCGTGCCCCAGCCAGTCACTCCACAGCACATTAAGCCAGGTTGCAGCAGCCCCAGGCTGGCAAGCTGACCCCCTGGGCCTCTTGCCAGCGGGGCTGCTCCAACCTGGCTTAAGATGCTGTGGTCCTTGACGCCCATGTAAACACAGCACGTGGAAGCAACAAACTCCAGCACAATAAGCACTGGAGTTTATTGTGTCACAGTAATATGCACAGGTAGACACGCCCTGTGATTCTAACCCTACTCCATGCAGCTAGAGGAGTGAGAGTGGGCCTGTCAAGTCCTGACTGATGTACAGGCATAGTAACCAGTGCACATCAGAGCAGCCTGAAAGATGGAAAGTGGCCCTCTGGTTCTGGGTTCAGAACTAGGGGAAGGGCAAAACTAACATACAGCTACCTCTGCACTCTCTCCCCAGCCCGAGGGATAATACATGTCGTGTTCCTACATGTTCCACACACACATGTTAAAGGATCTGGGCTAGAATCCCAAGGTTTGGTACAACAACTGGTGTCATAAGTGAGGTATTGCTGCTGCTTGTTGCTTTCTTTTATGGCTGTCAGTGCTTGTTAAAGATAGATTCTCTCTTTTTCCAGGTGCAGCATTAAGTGTCCATCACAAAACACATAAGTCATCCTCCACCCCTACAAGACACTCACAAGCAAACAATTCCATGCTCTACTTTACCTTATGTTTAATTAGGCAAACGTCCAGCGGGGAATGGAAGGGACGTTTCTAATTATGTAAACGTTTCTAATTATGTAAAGAATAGGGACGAGCTTGGAGAAGGGTCTCTGTATGAGACATGGTAACGGACAGAAGAACAATGCTGCCCCTGAGTGTCAGATCAATACTTGAGCAGGAAAGAAGCTTGTTATCACCATTCTTACACGTACTCAAATGTGGAGCCAAGTGCTCAGGCAAAGTCTGCATGTACTGTTTTGCATGTTGTATAGCATCAGCACCTGAAGTTGTGGAGCCAAGTGCTCAGGCAAAGTCTGCATATACTGTTTTGCATGTTGTATAGCATCAGCAGCCAAAGCGGCTCCTTAGGATCAGCTATTTTTGAGATTTTTACCAGGTCCTCCTGAGAAGGTTTGTCTCCACTCACAGCTTAAGTACGTGGGAGCCTGCATCACATATGCAGGAATCAGACCTCACACAGGGGACCAGATATGCTTTTTTCCTGTGTCTTACCCTTGATGCTACAAGTTGAAGCTCAGGCACTACAGCTGTGTGGACTAGGTTCCCATTCACCACTAACCGGATCTTAATGGAATCAGTAGTGAAGGCCAGGATGTAAGGAAAAGCACAAACTGCAATGAAACAAGAGTTAGTTTTACTGTGAAAAATAATAAAACCAATGATCTGTATCAGCAGTTTTACTGACGTTCCTCCAACTTTAAAACCGTTCTAGAGGGCTTGCCTAAATGACACTTGAGGTCCCTTTCCCTTCCAACCCTATGATTCTATGAGTTCAGAGGCTCCTGGAAACCTGACCTGCTCTAGTATCTCTCCTACCTCACCCATAAATGATTCAGCAGTTTAGAACAGTCTCTGAAATACTGGCATGTGTCCAGATGCATGAAGTCTGTAATTGCCTGCCTTACCATGCCTGTTTGGATGTACACTTTGTGTCTCTAAAAGGGAGCAAAGGAAGTAAATGAGCTGAGAAAGGCAAGAAAAATAAGGCAGCAATTTCAGTCCTTCCTTCATGCACTGAGAGAAAGAGTCAGTCCCCAAGGTTCCTTACTGTGAGCTATCCCATGCAAAACTAGTTGGGCTGGCAGGACACCACTTTGTTCTTGTAACACTCACTTGTGCTTCCCAAAGGCAAATGTGATTCCTGACCTAATGAAAAAAGGTAAGCCCATTGAAAAGGGCTCCTATAGTTTTGTCTTACCCACAGAATAAGGAACCTGGTTCCAGCTAAAATGAAAGTCAGATGCTGATGGCTGGACCAAAGGCGAACCCCCATTAAAGGGGCATAACTTTCGGTAGCAGCAGACATCTGCAATGAAAAACATCTGTCACCTCACACAGAAAATGATGCACATGCTGACATTCAAGAAAATGGCTCAGAGGCCTGGTTACATATACAGTATAGATACATGTGTGAAAATTCCTATATATCTGCTAAAACCATTAAAAATGTGAGTTTACTAACTGACTACAATTTTTAAAAGACCAAATGGGGCTAGCATAGCACATATATACACTGAGTCCCATCTACCAATCCATGGTGCACCCACATCTTGATTTATTGTGTACAGTCCCAGTCTCCACAGCTCAAATAAAGGTGCAGTACAATTGGAAAAGGTACAGAGAAGGACAAGCAGTGCAATCAGGGTTATGGAGCAGTTGCCATACCACGAGAAACTAAAATTGCAAAGGCTCTTAAGTTTGGAAAGGAGAAGGCTAAGGGAGGATATGGTAGAGGTCTATAAAACCATGAAGGGTATAGACAAAGTGAACAAGAGACTGTTATTCACCAAGTCCCAGAAAACCAGAAGTAAGGGGCACCCACTGAAATGAGCAAAAGATAAGTTTAAAATTAACAAGAGAAAGTAGTATTTTACACAGTGCATAGTTCATTTGTAGAATTCATTGCCACACGAGGTGGCAGAAACATACCATAGCTAGGTACACAAAGGGACTAGGGAAATTCATGGATGATAGATCTATTAGTAGCTGTTGAGCAGAACAGTTGGAGATACTTCCTCTGATATTTCTAAACCAATAATGATGGATGCTAGGGAGGGTAATGAATTGAGGACAGATGTATTTGATTTAATGCTCTCCCTCTAAAGCTTCCACTCCGGCCACTGTCAGAGACCGGATACTGGGTAGATGGCACTTACGTTCTTCTGGCCCTATATGGCACTTCTGTTGTCAAAATCTAAATGTAAAACTACCATCTATCTGTCATTTATAAGTATATGCCTGTTTTACAGTTCATAGGCAGACAAGGTTCTTCGGGTAAATCTGATATCTTTTATTAGACCAACTGAAATAGTTGGAAAAATTCTTCTTAGCACACTTTCAGGTTTAAATACCCTTTAAACCTAAGTTGGTCTGATAAAAGATATCAGATTTACCCAAAAAACCTTGTCTGCCTGTGTCCTTAGACCAACACAGCTACAACCTATACCCCTGTATTTTACAATTCAGGAATATTTATGAAATCATATGTTCACCTACTTTCCCAGTTCTCTGTTACTTATCTGTGGCTAGAGACAAGTCAGGAAAGATACTGTGCCACTGAGATCTCCCTCAGAATCAGGCAGTAGTAATTGCCTTTTCAGAAGTTATACACTGGCACAGTTCACATTCCACAAAGACTGTGCCATATATGTGTGATATCAGGAATAGAGGTCAAAATTCTATCATGCCCTTATTTTTTCCAATCAGCAAGTGCTTTCATAGTCCCTTACTCTAATAACTAAATGACTTAAATTAGTGCTACTCCTGAACTAAAAATAATGTTAGTTTTCAATAGTAAAAACTACAGAATCAAAGAAAGGATAGGGCAACCAGTAAGAGGCAGCATTCCACTGACTGCAAAAAGTGTGGCTTTTTTAAAACATGGTTTCATAGACTGCTGAAAGAAAAAAAATTATAGCAGAGATTCCTCAGTTCAGGCTAAATATCACCAGCTAGTTCCTAAATTACAGTTTTCATTCCCCATGGCAATGAATAAGCTAAGTCAAGGAATGAAATGTACTTAAAAAGGATGAATGCAGCTACAATGTCAAAGTTTCAATCAGGGAAGAAATATTTTTGGTAGGTAGAAGCATTAGCATATTGAGAATTTGTATGAAACTGAAAATTAACCTGATATCCCCAAACCTTTCTGTTTACTCCTATTGTTTGATTGAACTCTCTTGAATTTTGGCTGAAAGGTTACCAGCATTCACTCATGTGGTTAGTTTTTGCTAGCAACAGACCTCTCTCAAGTTCCTCATCACATAAACATATTAGACTAGAAGTTGGCAACCTCTGGCTGCGGGGCTACTGGATTTGGCCTGTGAAGCATTTGGCAGCAGGGGGGCTTTGCTCGCACAACGTTGTGTTGTGGCCATGCAGCCAAATGGTTGAGAACTTTGCCCACGCCACACCACAGTCAAGCAGCAGGGAGAAGCAGCAGTGGTAGCAGCTGGGTCTTAGCACTAGCCTGCTATGGACCGGAGCTGGGTCATTCCAGTCTGTGACTGGAAAATGTTGCTGACCACTATATTAGACTGAAAAAACATCACAAAGACCACATTTGGTCTTGGCAAGGGATTGTGAAAGGATCATGTGATGCTAAGAAAACAATGATCAATGTCCAAAAGTATAACAACAATTTAGGTATGTCCATGCCCTTAGAGTCTATGTCACACATCCTCTATTGGTTTTGTATTTTGCTTGGTCTGTCATCTGCGTATCATCTTGTTTTCCTTGTTGTTTTCTATTCCTTGATAATATTAAGACTAAGGCCCTAAGCAGGCTAATGCCCAAGTAAAATCAAAACATACTTACAATTATAGCACAACAGTAAACCAGCTTCTCCATCTTCATATACATCAATAACTGCAACAAAATTAACCTGCAATGATAATGGGTAAGAGTAGTGGGCAGATTGGAGACTCTGGTCACTACAAATTGATTTTGAAAAAAAATGCAACACTGTGTCAAAGGATTGCACACCTGAAGGTAGGAGTAAAGTTTCACCTTTTTAAATGCAGCCTTGAAAAACTAAGACTTTACTTTGCATTCATTGTAAATGCACTCAAAGCAGGGAATTCAAATTGTTTTCCACTCAAGTTTTTCCTATGCCTTCATCATCATTCAGCATAGGAAAGATTTCAGCAGAACTGGCTTGTGTCACCCCGCAGAACTAAAAATATTACTCTAACAAAGAAACTTGTCTAAATGAAAAGTTAAAAAAGAAAAAAATCACTGCACATCAGGACAGGTGGGGTGGAAACAACATAATCAGAACCTCTGTCACAAAGACAAAGCATATCAATAAGGAAGTTCTTTCAGATTTAATGAATAAATGATAATAAAACATTACTGAACAGACTTGATGACTTGGAAAATAGTCTAGAATTTAGAGGTGGAGAATTCCTGGAATGAAGACAATATGGCCACTGGAAAGAGTGGTTTTGGTTTTTTTGTTGTTTTTTTCTCCCCCCAGTATGGATGACACTAGGGCAGCTAACTTCTGAGAAGCCAGGGGCTGTACCTGCCCAGGTGTCATGTCTAGGTGGGAGCCCACAGGCTACAGTTCAACCCTTTGTGGCCAGGGAGTCAGACAGGCCTGGGTTGCACAATCCTCAGACTGGAACCATCTAGCCACCCTTTTCAACTAAACTACGACATCCAAACACTTATAAAGAAGCTTCCCATAAATCTACCATATGTGATGATGTGCAATGCAGTAACCAGGAAGAATGAAAATCTACAAGCAGCATAATCAAAACTATAAATCAGGCATAATGGATATGGACTGAAATCGGACAGTCTGGGGATGAGCCTGAAGTAAATCCCTTGATGGACTAAAATTAGTTTACATAGATGCTTTCCAATTTCCACTACAGCATGGTACTGGATTAATAAAAGAAACTGGCAATATAATAAAAGAAAAATACTATAAATAAAAGGAAAAAAAATCAGTACAATGAGGACTGTCTCCTCAACATTCCTTTAGCCAGAAAAACCTCAGATCATCCTGGACGCTTACATTGGGTTAACAGGACTGCACGTCTTAGGAAATGGGTAACAGGATAGGGAAGCTTACATATCAATGCCATCACTAACAACTGACAGGTGTTACCAAACAGCAGCCGTTTTATAATCTATGTGAAATGATTTAACGAGTGTCAGTCCAATTCCTCAAAGCCATAACAACAGTAACTGGTACTAACTGGCAGACTAGTTGGTATCCCTAGCATAAAAGACAATGATTAAATGGACCACAACTCATGAAGTGCGTTTCTCATTTTCTAGAGCAAGGTTGTCAAACTCATCGGGCCCCACGAGCCAGACGAGTAAGCATGGAGCTAGTCTATGGGCTGAATTAGGCCCACAGACCTCATCCCCTGCCCACATGTGTGGGACCTGGCCCCACTGAGTGCCACCAGCACACATCCAGGTACTGAGCATGGGGAGGGTCTGCACAACATAAGGGGCAGCTCCAGGAGCCAGATCACAGGGCTCCGCAGGCTAATTCTGACCCACAGGCCATAGGATTGACACTCTTGTTCTAGAAGTAATATGTCCAAAACAAGCATTCGGTAAATTGGCAGGGTTGCATGAGGAAAGTTCATATTGCCATCCACTATGCTGTACCTGCTCCACACATTACCGTCCAGGGCTGTCAGTCCTGGCCCCTCTTCTTTTGCACCAATACACTAGCACAAAACATGTAAAAGATAAGCCACCAACAGAAAAGAATTCAACCATCTGTATTTTGAGCAAGACTGTCAGTTCGAAAATGGCTCAAATCTGAGTGTCTAAAGTTGGGCACCTAAATCCATATGTAGGCACAAATAAGAATGTCCTGATTTTCAGAGAGCCTGCACTTCCTGGTGGTCTATACCAGTCAGAAGCTGTCAGTACTGAACAACTGAGAAAACTCAAGCCATTTATTTAAATGTTTGACTTCACACCTAATTTAGAAAACTTTGGCCACTTTAATTACAATACGGATGCTGCTTGTTTCTCTGTTTCATTACTGTACTGGACAGCAACTTCTAAGATCAGACTAAGAGCCACATAAAAATGTTAGTTCAAAAGCGGTGGCTAACAAAAAGTTGAGTCTCCTACTAGAATATGAATCTCAACACACTTTGGGAACATGCACTAAAAGGGAGACAAGCCTTTTGGCCAGAAAGAAGAGAAGGAAGTTTGTGCCTACTCTGCACACACAAGGCAAAGGCTAGGTGATATTCCAGACTCCAAGGTCATGGATGCATATATGCTTAGAGACATTACAAAATGGGAACTTTCAAAAGGCATCAGCTAGTATGCATTATCTGTTTATGTGGGAATGAGCTGAGAATGATTCCAGTGTAGCAAAACCCTCCAACTTTATCCATGGATGAAGGTGTGCTAAAGCTGGAGGGTTTTGCTACATCTGAATGATTCTCAGCTCACTGACACGCAACAATCAGAAGGTATCACCTGCTCTCCTTGTGGTTCCCTTTTTGAAAAGTCTCCAAGTATTTGTATAATCACATTCAAGACACAAGCATTTGTATAAATCACATCCACTTGTCTCTCTACTGAATAGTGTTCCTTTTAGGTATCTTAATGATTACCTCTTGGGGACAGTTACTTTATTTACCTAAATCCAAAATAACTCTGCAGTTATAATGACCCTCCAATAATTAGTTTATATCCATGGAAAATTATAACAAACTTATGAATCTTCCAGGTATAGAATCTAAATACCTAGGAGGGCGATCCAGGCTGACATGGACAGGCTCAGCAAATGGGTGGACGAGAACCTGATGGTGTTTGACACTGAAAAATGCAAGGTTCTCCACCTTGGGAGGAAAAACCTGCAGCATCCTTATAGGCTTGGCAGTGCTACACTGGCTAGCACTATGGAAGAAAGAGACTTGGGTGTCATCATTGACCACAAGATGAACATGAGCCTTCAATGCAATGCTGCGGCTAGTAAAGCAACCAAAACGCTGGCTTGCATCCATAGATGCTTCTCAAGCAAATCCCGGGACATCATTCTCCCCTTGGACTTGGCCCTGGTGAGGCTGCAGCTGGAGTACTGTGTCCAGTTTTGGGCCCCACAATTCAAAAAGGATGTGGAGAAGCTTGAGAGAGTGCAGAGAAGAGCCACGCGCATGATCAGAGGTCAGGGAAGCAGACCCTACGATGACAGGCTGAGAGCCATGGGGCTCTTTAGCCTGGAAAAGCGCAGGCTCAGGGGTGATCTGGTGGCCACCTATAAGTTTATCAGGGGTGACCACCAGCATCTGGGGGAACATTTGTTCACCAGAGCGCCCCTAGGGATGACAACTAGGTCGAATGGTCATAAACTACTACAAGACCATTTCAGGCTGGACATAAGGAAGAATTTCTTTACTGTCTGAGCCCCCAAGGTCTGGAATAGCTTGCCATCAGAGGTGGTTCAAGCACCTACATTGAACGCCTTCAAGAAAAAATTGGATGCTTATCTTGCTGGGATCCTATGACCCCAGCTGACTTCCTGCCTTCGGGCGGGGGGCTGGACTCGATCTTCTGAGGTCCCTTCCAGTCCTAATGTCTATGAAATCTATAAATAAATCCCCCCCCCACCCGTCCACAGTGGAGGAGGAGAAAGCGGTAGGGAAGTCAAGTAGCCTGACACTGCTCCTTGGCTCCCCTACACCTTGCCCCCTGCTGCCTGTCCCACCCACTACTTGCTCCCCCACTGCCTTTCCCTCCCCTGCCCTCCCCCCCACATGCTTGCTTGACCCAGCACCTGCCCCTACCCCAATGCCTGTCCCCCTGCCACTTGCTCCTGGTACCTGGCCCCCCACCACCCATGTTAAGTAAAGGGAGGGGGGGACACACATGATGGACCCTAGTCTTAAGTTCTTCCTGGGGTACCTAAAAATACCTCATTTACTTGAATCTATGTTTCAGGCTGAGTGGGAGCACAGGCAACAGCTTGAGAACTGAAGTATAAAGCAAAGGAACAGAGAGAATCCTTCCCAAAGGATGCTTTGAATTTGGCCAAGGCCACAGTGGATGCAAGAACTACAGAACGTTTTGGTGCTATTTGTCCTCACATCAGTAAGCTCTTTGTTGATGCAGAAAACTTACCCTGCTTGCTTCAACATGATGCAACCTGTAAGATTCTCCTGTACTTTCATTAATTAAATCAAACTGATGCCGATATGCTACACAGATCATATTATCATTGTCTCCAGTCGGTCCGTCCACAAGAGTCATAATCATGGGAGTGTCAGAGAGAGAAATCTCCTGTAATGCAAATCACTTTAGATTAACATGAAAATAAATGAGAGAAATTATTCTATTGGTCTGCATTCTTCACTGGCAATAGTTGATACGAGAGGTGTTCTGTGCTTTGGAGTAGGCGGCATGCATGTTGTACAATTGTAAATGTCACTAATGAACACCCAAGAGCCCAGGTAAGAAAAGGGAGGATTTCTGTTAAAATTTCTGCAGTGCAACTCTGGTGCTGGGATTCTTCCCTGAACCAGCCCTACGGTTCAGAGGGTGAAGTGTACCCCTACAGGAGCACGCAACACTGGTGAATGCTGACCAGTCTAAGAAGATAAGTTTTAGGATTTGACTCGCACATACCCTGATATACTGGAATTCCTCTACTGGTGATTCAGATGGAGGTGACATCAAAGAGGCGTTGGTTAAACTGTTGCAACAATTGTATTTCTTTGTGATGAGGAGCAGTTTGTTCCGAATAGCCGCAACAATCCTCAGCTCGCTGCTGTGATGAGTGTTAATGGCATACAAATGACAGCCTGAGGAGAAAATGTTCTAGATTGTAAGTTCTTTGGGGCCAGGTTTGCTTTTTAGTTCTGTATTTCCACAGCACTTAGTACAATAGGGTTTTGATATGTGATTAGCGCTCCTAGGAACTACAGTAATAGAAATCAATGAATGCATAAATAAATAAAGACAGCAAAATTCATTTAAAAAAGCAGCAAACAGAGTTCATTATGAAGCGAAACCTAATTATTTTTCACTCGGAAATTTGCAAATTAACAATTTCTTATTGAGTAAAGGACTAAATGCACAGAAAGAAAGAAAGAAAGAAAGAAAGAAAGAAACAGTAATAGAAATCAATGAATGCAGAAAGAAAGAAAGAAAGAAAGAAAGAAAGAAAGAAAGAAAGAAAGAAAGAAAGAAAGAAAGAAAGAAAGAAAGAAAGAAAGAAAGAAAGAAAGAAAGAAAGACAGCAAAATTCATTTAAAAAAACAGCAAACAGAGTTCATTATGAAGTGAAACCTAATTATTTTTCACTCGGAAATTTGCAAATTAACAATTTCTTATTGAGTAAAGGACTAAATGCACAGAAATTGGCGCTGCCCGCCCCCCCCCCCCCTCGTGAATAAAGGGGGGGGGGGGGGGGGGAGGACATGATGGACCCTAGTCTTAGATTCAAGTAAATGAGGTATTTTTAGGTACTCCAGGAAGAACTTATGTTTCAGGCTCAGTGGGAGCACAGGCAACAGCTTGAGAACTGAAGTATAAGGCAAAGGAACTGAGAGAATCCTTCCCAAAGGATGCTTTGAGTTTGGCCGAGGCCACAGTGGATGCAAGAACTACAGAACGTTTTGGTGCTATTTGTCCTCACATCAGTAAGCTCTTTGTTGATGCAGAAAACTTACCCTGCTTGCTTCAACATGATGCAACCTGTAAGATTCTCCTGTACTTTCATTAATTAAATCAAACTGATGCCGATATGCTACACAGATCATATTATCATTGTCTCCAGTCGGTCCGTCCACAAGAGTCATAATCATGGGAGTGTCAGAGAGAGAAATCTCCTGTAATGCAAATCACTTTAGATTAACATGAAAATAAATGAGAGAAATTATTCTACTGGTCTGCATTCTTCACTGGCAATAGTTTATACGAGAGGTGGCATCCCATGTTCTGTGCTTTGGAGTAGGCAGCATGCATGTTGTACAATTCAAGAAATAATGGCCACAAGCTAGCAGAGAGCAGATTTAGATTGGACATTAGGAAGAACTTCTTCACAGTTAGAGTGGCCAAGGTCTGGATTAGTATTCAGAACTGCAGAAATGAACACACTGGGCATGTTTACATGAGATGCTACGACACCGTAGCAATGTGCTCCCTCACTATAGCACAGTGCTACAGTGACATAGCAGCTAAAATAACCATGCACCACCACAGTGCAGCGCAGCATGGGCTGTTACTGCGCCGTCATTTAGTACTTCCAACAGGAGTGTAGGGGCATAAAGAAAGAAAGAAAGAAAGAAAGAAAGAAAGAAAGAAAGAAAGAAAGAAAGAAAGAAAGAAAGAAAGAAAGAAAGAAAGAAAGAAAGAAAGAAAGAAAGAAAGAAAGAAAGAAAGAAAGAAAGAAAGAAAGAAAGAAAGAAAGAAAGAAAGAAAGAAAGAAAGAAAGAAAGAAAGAAAGAAAGAAAGAAAGAAAGAAAGAAAGAAAGAAAGAAAGAAAGAAAGAAAGAAAGAAAGAAAGAAAGAAAGAAAGAAAGAAAGAAAGAAAGAAAGAAAGAAAGAAAGAAAGAAAGAAAGAAAGAAAGAAAGAAAGAAAGAAAGAAAGAAAGAAAGAAAGAAAGAAAGAAAGAAAGAAAGAAAGAAAGAAAGAAAGAAAGAAAGAAAGAAAGAAAGAAAGAAAGAAAGAAAGAAAGAAAGAAAGAAAGAAAGAAAGAAAGAAAGAAAGAAAGAAAGAAAGAAAGAAAGAAAGAAAGAAAGAAAGAAAGAAAGAAAGAAAGAAAGAAAGACAGCAAAATTCATTTAAAAAAACAGCAAACAGAGTTCATTATGAAGTGAAACCTAATTATTTTTCACTCGGAAATTTGCAAATTAACAATTTCTTATTGAGTAAAGGACTAAATGCACAGAAATTGGGATAAGTCTAAACCAATGTCCGTGTAAAACCCAATGTAGAACTGGCTTTTCGGGGAAAGAGGGCTAAGGGTCAGTTCCTGCATCAGCTCCAGGGAGCCTGTGAGACCTCCAGCACAGTGGCTGCACTGGGGCTCCAAAACAACATTCCCATCACCTTTGGTTTTCTCCAGTTTATTCTCTCTGCAGTCATACTTGTTCTTTGCCATCTGCTTTGTCTCAATGCCTTTCTGTACAGCACTCAGCCTGAAGACAAGAAGTCGAGAATCCTTCCCTATCAGGTTGGAGAGAACCAGGGAAACGGGAAGATAAAACAAAGAATGAAACTTGTTTTTCCAAAGACAGTATTATTGCCAAAGTGTCAGTTCTGAACATGGAGAGCCACAGCCACAATCAATCAGCTATAATGAGGCAATTCTCTCCACACTCACTTGGGAATGAGCAGAATAGTGACAGGAAGGAAAAGATACTTATGAATCCTACTTAAATTATAAAACTGCCACAGGGTGCGGATCTCTCCAGTTAAAGCTGCACAGAACTATCATTATCGGTCATGGTATGAAACTAAATCTAGCAACATAAAAGCCAATTCCAGAGACTAAAGGATTCATTCAAATCAGAACATCAGCTTTCCTTCATCAAGTGCTGCAGTGAAAAACAAGGTGAGAATTGGAGATAAAATGAACCTTGGTTACTACAACATAATGAAAATTCATATGGAATAAATATAAGTTATAGCATAAGACTGAAGCATTACCTTTCAGTTTAGAAAGAATCCAATGAATCTATGATTACTTGGTCCACTGCATATTCTGAAAACTTAAAACAAACTCAGCCTGCCTTAAAGAGCCATGTGGCAATTTTAGCAAATTTATAACAAATAATTAGTATTCAGAACTGCAGAAATGAACACACAGGGCATGTTTACATGAGATGCTATGACACCGTAGCAATGAGCTCCCTCACTATAGCACAGTGCTACAGTGACATAGCAGCTAAAATAACCATGCACCACCACAGTGCAGCGCAGTATGGGCTGTTACTGCACCGTCATTTAGTACTTCCAAGAGGAGTTGTAGGGGCACAGGGAAGGGCCTGGGCAGAAGTGGATGCATCCTACAGATCAACACATGGCTGTACAGAGGGTGTCGCCAGCAGGGCTTTGGCTTCTTTGACCACAGGATGTTGTTCCAAGGATTGCCAGGAAGTGATGGGATCCACCTGGCAAAGAGAGGGAAGAGCATGTTGCAGACAGGCTTCTTAACCCAGTGAGGAGGGCTTTAAACTAGATTTGCCAAGGGATGGAGTCCCAAGCCCTGAGGTAAATAGGTAAGTGGGTGACCTGGAGGAAGCAGAAGCAGGAGTGGGAAACAGGGGAGGCCTCCTTGTTCTTCCTGAGAAGCTAGGGCTATTGGTTAGTTGTACCCTCAGTCATCTGTACATGAATACACGGAGCCTAGGAAACAAGCAGAAGGAACTGGAAGTCCTCGCACAGTCCGAGAACTATGATGTGATTGGAATAACAGAGACTTGGCAGGAGCTCGCATGACTGGACCACTGTCCTGGATACATAAAAACTGTTCAGGAGCGACAGAAAGGGAGAAGAGGAGGAGGAGTTGCACTCTGTATAAAAGAGCTGTATGATTGCTCAGAGCTCTAGTAAGAAACTGGATATAGGCCTGTTGAAAGTCTCTAGGTTCAGGTCAGAAGGGAGAGCAACAAGGGTGATGTTGTGGTGGGGGTCTCCTATAGACACCAGGCCAGGAGCATGAGGTAGACGAGGCTTTTTTCAAACACCTAGCACAAGTTTCCCGATCACCGGCCCTGGTTCTCATGGGGGACTTCAATCACCTTGACATCTGCTGGGAGGCCAATATAGCAGTGCGCAGGCAATCCAGGAAGTTTTGGGGAGTGCTGGTGACAACTTCCGGGTGCATGTGTTGGAGTGGCCAACTAGAGGCCATGCTCTTCTTGACCTGCTGCTCACAAACAGGGAAGAATTGGTGAGGAATGTAGTAGTAGATGGTAACTTGAGCAGCAGCAACCATGAGATGATCGAGTGCAAGATCTTGAGGAAAGGAAGGAAGGAGAGCAGACCCTGGACTTCAAAAAACCAGACTTCAACTCACTCAGGGAACTGATGGGCAGGATCCCATGGGAAGCCAGTCTGACAGCAAAAGGAGTCCAGGAGAGCTGGTTGTATTTAAAAAAAAATCTTACTGAGGGCACAGGAACAATGTGCAGGAAGACTGGCAAGTATGGCAGAAGACCAGCCTGGCTTAGCAGAGAATTCTTCAGTGAGCTAAAACACAAAAAGAAAGCTTACAAGTAGAAACTTGGACAAGGGAGGAGTATATAAGTACTGCTCAGGCATGCAGGGATCAAGTCAGGAAGCCAAAGCACAATTGGAGTTGTAACTAGCAGGGAATGTAAAGAGTAATAAGGAGTGTTTCTACAAGTATGTCAGGAACAAGAGGAAAATCGGGGAAAGTGTGGGTCCCTTACCGAATGGGGGAGGCAGCCTAGTGACAGAGGATACAGAAAAGGCTTAAGTGCTCATAGCTTTTTTCATCTCAGTCTTCACAGGCAAGGTGAGCTCCCAGACTGCTACACCAGGCAGCACAGTTTGAGGAGAAGGTGAGCAGTCCTCAGTGGTGAAAGAGCAGGTTAGAGACTACTTAAAAAAGCTGGACGTGTACAAGTCCATGGGTCTGGATGCAACATACTCAAGGGTGCTGAGACAGTTGGGCAATGCGATTGCAGAGCTGCTGGCCATCAACTCTGAAAACTCGTGGTGGCTGGAAAAAGTCCTGGATGACTGGAAAAGGGCAAATATAACTCCCATCTTTAAGAAAGGGAAGGAGGAAGGTCCAGGAAGCTACAGAGCTGTCAACCTCACCTCAGTCTCTGGAAAAATCATACAGCAGGTCCTCAAGGAATCCATTTCTAAGCATTTGGGGGAGAAGAAGTTGGCTAGGAACAGTCAGCAGGGACTCACCAAGGGCACATCATGCCTGACCAACCTCACTGCCTTGTAATGACGAGATGAATGGCTCTGTGGATGTGGGGAGGGCAGTGGGCGTGATATACCTTGATGTGAGCAAGGCATTTGATATTGTCTCCCACAACACTCTTGCAAGCAAGCTGAGGAATTAAGAGCTGGATGAATGGACTACAAGACGGACAGAAAACTGGCTGGACTGTTGGGCTCACAGGGTAGTAATCAAAGGTTCTATCTCTAGCTGGCAGCTGGTATCAAGTGGAGTGTCCCAGGGGTCAGTCTTAGGGCCATTTGTTATCAATATTTTCATCAACGACCTAGAGGATGGGATGGAGTGCACCCTTAGCAAGTGTGTGCATGACACCAAGCTGGGGGGGAGTAGTAGGTCTGTAGGAGGGTAGGGCTAAGATTCAGAGAGCCCTTGACAAATTGGAGGATGGGACCAAAAGAAATCTCGTGAGGTTTAAAAAGGACAAGTGCAAAGTCTCGCGCACTCAGTCTTCACAGGCAAGGTGAGCTCCCAGACTGCTACACCAGGCAGCACAGTTTGAGGAGAAGGTGAGCAGTCCTCAGTGGTGAAAGAGCAGGTTAGAGACTACTTAAAAAAGCTGGACGTGTACAAGTCCATGGGTCTGGATGCAACATACTCAAGGGTGCTGAGACAGTTGGGCAATGCGATTGCAGAGCTGCTGGCCATCAACTCTGAAAACTCGTGGTGGCTGGAAAAAGTCCTGGATGACTGGAAAAGGGCAAATATAACTCCCATCTTTAAGAAAGGGAAGGAGGAAGGTCCAGGAAGCTACAGAGCTGTCAACCTCACCTCAGTCCCTGGAAAAATCATACAGCAGGTCCTCAAGGAATCCATTTCTAAGCATTTGGGGGAGAAGAAGTTGGCTAGGAACAGTCAGCAGGGACTCACCAAGGGCACGTCATGCCTGACCAACCTCACTGCCTTCTAATGATGAGATGAATGGCTCTGTGGATGTGGGGAGGGCAGTGGGCGTGATATACCTTGATGTGAGCAAGGCATTTGATATTGTCTCCCACAACACTCTTGCAAGCAAGCTGAGGAATTAAGAGCTGGATGAATGGACTACAAGACGGACAGAAAACTGGCTGGACTGTTGGGCTCACAGGGTAGTAATCAAAGGTTCTATCTCTAGCTGGCAGCTGGTATCAAGTGGAGTGTCCCAGGGCTCAGTCTTAGGGCCATTTTTAAATCAATATTTTCATCAACGACCCAGAGGATGGGATGGAGTGCACCCTTAGCAAGTGTGTGCATGACACCAAGCTGGGGGGGGGGGGGGGGGGAGTAGTAGGTCTGTAGGAGGGTAGGGCTAAGATTCAGAGAGCCCTTGACAAATTGGAGGATGGGACCAAAAGAAATCTCGTGAGGTTTAAAAAGGACAAGTGCAAAGTCTCGCACACAGGATGGAACAATCCCATGCACCAGTACAGGCTAGGGAATGACTGGGGCTTAGAGTGGATAACAAGCTGAATATGAGCCAACAGGGTGCCCTTGTTGCCAAAAAAGCTAATGGCATCCTGGGCTGCATTGGTAGGAGTGTTGCCAGCAGGTTGAGGGAAGTGATTCTTCCCCTCTGTTCTGCACTGGTGAGGCTACATCTGGAATACCGTGTCTAATTTTGGGCTCCCCACTTCAGAAAGGATGTGGACAAGTTGGAGAAAGTCCAGCACAGGGCAACAAAACTGGTTAGGAGGCTGAGGCACATGACTTCTGAGGGGAGGCTGTGGGAACTGGGCTTATTTAGACTGGAGAAGACAAGACTGAGTGGGGATTTAATAACAGCCTTCAACTACCTGAAGGGTAGTTCCAAAGAGGATGGAGCTGGACTGTTCTCAGTGGGGGCAGAGGACAACACAAGGAGCAATGGGCTCAAGCTGCAGCAAGGGCAGTTTAGGTTAGCTACTAGGAAAAACTCTCACCAGAAGGGTAGTAAAGCACTGAAACAGGTTACACGGGGCATGTCTACATGAGATGTTTACCGTGCAGTAGGCCAATTAGCTGTGCAGAAAGTGTCGTGGTGTCTACGTGTGCACCCCCATCAAGCTAGAGTAAACTAATTTACTCTACAGCAGGACAATATTTGTAAGTACAGTACTATCCTGCTGCAGAGTAAAAAAACTCCTCAGTAGTATATGTATAGATGCTGCCCTGGGGCTGGCTGCCTGCTGGCTAGCCCTACACTGAAGCACCCTCGTGCCTCAGCTAGCCCCTCTGTAGCATGTCGAGCTGGGGGGAACAGCCCCGGGCTGGCAGGCTGACCCCTCAGGCTTCCTGCCAGCCAGGGCTGCTCCAACCTGGCTTAACATACTGCACTCCTGGGCGCACGTTCAAGCAGCAATAAACTCTGGAGTTTATTGTTCGAGAGTTTATTGCTTCACATTAATTGCGCACGTAGATGTGCCCTCAGAGAGGTTGTGGAATCTCCATCCTTGGAGGTTTTTAAGACAAGGCTAGACAAAGCTTTGGCTGGGATGAGATAGCTGGGGATAGTCCTACTTTGAGTAAGGGGATGGACTAGATGACCTCTTGAGGTTCCTTTCACCGCTATTTTTTTATAATTCTATGTGGAAATATGTATCCTATACATTTATCAACCACAAACCCATCGTGAATCTGAAGAGAGAACTGGAGGTAAGCGTCACCATCCTGAACCCAACGTGGTATGTTTCTGTTCAGTCTCTACCAGGTCCAAAGCAAAATTAAGCTCCCCCTTTTTCAGGATGTGACCATATCTGGAGTTGAAGTATTACTTTGCTCACCTGAGTATGCCTCCTAACAAGGCTACTTTTTATAACAGGTTCTTGTGAAAAGGGTTGCTTGAGAGGGGTGGAAGAGGAGACTGGGTAAGGTGTAAGGTATGGAACTGAATATACATTACACACAGACACACAATAACTTTGGCATGCTAGATATTTTCCACATAGCAATTTGCAAGCATGGCAGGTCATTCTAAGGTCCAAAGTTGAAAATTAGCTGACTTGGTTTTGCCCATTAATGCTACTAGACACTCCCAATTAACTGCATATTGGCATCTAATTTTTAATTACTGGGATCTCTTCTGGCAAAAATACTAACTACTGAACTTGTTCTTGCATCAGTGGACCAGAAACTGTCAAAGCAGAAGATTTGGGGAAGATTCAAAGAAAGCAATGAAAGAAAGATCCAGCTACCTGTGCTAACCACTAATAAAGATAGCAGGGGAAAGCAAAATACACAAAACCTTTAGAAGACAATTACTGCCAAAATGCAACAGCATTCTCAAAGCCAAGATTTCAACTGTTACCTTCCACTGACCACTCCATCAAATAACAGCACACCAAACACATTCATGTTAGAACTGAGGAACTGTTAGGGCAGTGGTTCACAAATAATCCTGGGCTACGTGCTCCTTTTCTAGTTTGCTCTAATGCTGTGCACGCCCCTTTAATTCCATGATATGGCTAATAAAAACCAATGCATTATGCCACTGACTACACTGTAATCTCGTCAGCAACCTAGCAACTACTGTACAGCTCTTCATTTTTCCTTTCTCTTCCTTTTTCTCCTTTTATATTTGTCATTTTCCTGCTTTCTTCCCCTCGAGTACCCCAGTCTGGGAAACAAGGGATTAGAGAGTCCTACCTCTGTCTGCTCTGCTAATCAGAAGATCCAAAGCTTCCAGCACGTGCATCTGCTTTACTTGGAGAGTTTTATCAAATACTTGTATTGAAGGCTGACCACCTGGAAAGAAAACATGACACTAAATATTAGAATGAATTTCTTTAAAACTCTACACTGTCTGGACCAGTAATATTAATGGAATGTGTTGCTTACAGCAAAGTTTGTTGTTGGTTTTTTTTAATGTGAAAATAAAGCAGCAGCGTACAGCTGTTTCCTGTACAGTACCAGGGATAGTACTTTCTTCCAAGAGAAGCATATCATGCATGCCTAAAAAAGGCTTTTTTTCAGAAAGTTTGAGAAAAGTCCCTGAGAACCAATGGCCCTTGATGTAATTCCCTGCCATATATGGCACACACGGGAAAAGGAGTCAGATCCACAAAATCAGTGATAGGAAAGAAAGGATCGAGGACTGAGAAGTCCAGGCAGGTCACTTGGATGCTGTTTAAACTTGGACTTGGCTTAAGAAATTATTTCAAACTGTCAAGACTATGTTCAGAAACCTGCATTAAAAATGGATTAACAAAACGATCCAGATTTGCCCAGTTTTTGGTGTGGAGCAAAATTATGCTATTAAGTTACAAAGCCCTGACAGTAAAGATGTTTGAAAATACACATGAAATGTTAACAATCTTCATTAGTGATCAGCTGCTAACATCTAAATAGGGGCTACTGAGTCAGTTTTAGTAACTTGTTAGACAAGTGTTGGATCATTCACTGACCATCTATAAGCAGAACGCCAACATCTGTAGAAACTAGCAAGGACTGGCCCCAAGAATCCGCACAAACAACTTCATAAGGAAAATTATTGCAGAAACACTGGGACTCCCAAGGCTGTAAAACAATATGGGTAGGCAATAATTATACTAGGAAGCACTAAGTTTATAAAACAGAGAAAATGCAAAAAACATTGGCTAAAACAGTAACATATGGACACTTTGGTGGGACAGAATAAATTAATCAGTGTTGTACTTTGTGGAGGTAAAATTTCAGGGCTTGGTCTGTTCCTTAGAGGAGGCAGTATTCTCTACAACTGGTATAGCAGATTAATAAATGCAAGGTACATTTCTGGGACTCTAAGATGGAATACCCTTTGGTAGGTCACATCTTGCAACTGCAGAGTGAGATAACACTTTGTATACAACACGATCCTTCGCTTCAAAATAGACCACATGTGGTAAGCTCTCAGAGGTGTAGAAGGTGAACAGTTTGACTTTCCTGCATTCAAGTGTGCAGGAGCAGATGCTTTCTCTTTGCTCTTATTGCATCCAATTACAAATACATTGTAATTTTTTTGAAGGACTTTACACTGCATCAGGTACAAAGGTCCACTTACCTCCTTTTTACACAGGCCTGTCGCAGCCAAACTAGTTGGTGCATCCCCTTTTACAATGCTTTTCAGTTTCAGTGCCTTAACCAAGACAGAAATTTTATTTAAAATATGTTTCCTGTCAGTAACACCAATGCATAAATACTAAAATATTGGGAAGCCGAGAGAAGCAAATTCAAATTAATTAAAACAGTTTCAGTTCTTGACTTTCTGGATGACAATTAATAATTTCTACATGAGAAAAATAGCTGTTTCATGTGTCTTAACCAGAAATTAGTCCAGTTACTGAAGGGTTAGAACTACTATATATATCTCACTGGAGAAAACTTCAAACAATAAAAAATTACTATGCAGATATCTTTTATGGGACTAGCTACATGTTTGGTCCAATAAATATGCCTCTGGGATATTTCCAGGACCACCATGACTACAATTACACTCCAACATAACCAAAAATTCTCAGCGAGCTAACTGGAAGCAGGCCCTTCACTTGGAGAGTTGGTGCTATGCCTGCAAGGTCACATTCCCAGAAATACTATTTTGAGGTACTAAAAAACCTTATATAATCAATTTCATATAATGATGAAAATTGTATCGTCATGAACACAATCACAAACTCTTCACTATACAAATGGATAGACGCACAGTGATTGTCAGAAATACTTAGCACACAGTAAAGAATGCTACAGCAAGGCTTTGCAAGTATTAAACATCAGTATGATGAAAAACAAGATAATTCAAATAAGCTTTTCCTCCTGCATTATCAC